TTGTTAAGTGTATCTGGCCTTAATTGTTACAGAAATGAGAACTGCAATGAGAACTACACAACTGACTTCATTTATCAGCTGTATTCTGAGGAAGGAAAAGGAGTGTTTGACTGTCGAAAAAATGTGTTGGGCCACATGCAGCAGGTAAAAATGACCTTGTAATTACAGAGAAGCTGAACTTTGTATGAACAAGTTGTGTACACTGTTCAAGCATTTCAAGCAAGTCTGACTTGGGATTAAAGAAAATAACTTGTGGATTTTTGTTTGTAGGTAACTCAGACGTTTTTGTTAGCATTACATTTTATCGCAATTCCTTCTTAAAAATCTAGGAGAAAATGCATTAGATTCAGTTTTATTCCTCTCCTGTCTATATTAATAATCAATTATACTTTTTTAATAGCTAATACAGCTATCTTATTATAATACATCCTTACAACATACTTACCTGCCCATCAGTAACATATCTGGCTTCTGAACTCTGCAAGAGATGAGATTCCATTAAAATACATGCAGATGGACTGTTCTTGTAGAAGAGACAGTAGTGAACTATTTGTGATCTTTCTACCTTGCGTCTCTTTATCTCACTATACTGCTCATTAGTGGGCAAACTTCAAGTTTCTAATTTGGCTATGCTAATCACCAAGACTGGTGTAGAGTAAAAAAATACCTGGAGAACCACCTGTCTAAAGCATTAGTAGTGAAATGACTGTCTCTCCTTTTAAGTAATTTAAAGTTGTATGTGTACTCCTTATATGTTTTTAGATCATCCAATATGCATGTTGGCATTTTCTGCATAAAATTAGCAAGGTTTTATTTTGAAGGTCAGGATCAGCATTAATGAAACAGATCTGATTGGAACTAATTGGAACTACTTCATATATGATTTCAGTCCCATCTCCTGCATTGAAAGAGGACAGAAAAGTCTACCTGTGTGGACAGAGGGCTTAAAAAGATCTAAGACAACACTTCTGTTCTCAGAACTATCTAAAGGCTGCTGTAATATTAGAAATTACAGCAGCCAAAAAAAAAAGGGGGGAATGGGGTGGTGATTGCTAATCTGCCAAGTCCTAATGCAGTTTTTTCATCCTAGTGTTTACACTAGATACTAGGAAAAATTTCTTTACTGGAAGAGTAATGAAGCATTGGAACAGGCTGCCCAGGGCAGTGGTGGAGTTGACATCCCTGGAGGTGCTGAAAAAATGCGTAGATACGGCACTAAACCAGGCCATGGTTTAGTGGTCACCGTAATGTTGGGTTGATGGTTGGACTTGATGTTCTTGGAGGTCTTTTCCAACCTTAATGATTCTGTGATTGTGTACTCGGCATTACGGGCTTCCTCGCTCAAGCTGCCGCAGAGAGCCGTGCTTCCCGGCTGACAGTCAGCACGTGGTTTTTCAGGCTCCTTCTGACGCCCATCCTGCAGCGCGTCCTGGTCGCCCTGTGGCAGGGTGAGCGCTGGGCACTGCTTTGGCATCAGCACGAAGGGGAGGCGGAAGAAAGGGAAGGGAGAGCACTGCCCTCCACTAAGTCAAAAGTATTATTGATTCACTGAAAATTCTGCAGGTGCTTAAGACAAGCTTTATGTGTTTTAGCTTGATTTGTGTGGTGGGGGTTTCAGTTTGTTTTTCTCAGAGGGGGAAATGGAAATAAGAGGTAGAGCAGGCCATTGGCAGAGATGACTGATAAGAAGACACAAATACTGGTTCGATAACGAAACTGACGCATGCCTAAATCTCCACATAGGGTGGTGCACCTTCGCCATTTGATAGAAACTTCGGGACAAAAATTTCTGCAAAAGCTATGCAGTGGATCTCCAAAAAACTGAAAGAAACCTACCGAAAAGGTGCAGAAATATTTGGTGCTGTCCCTCGTTACTGTCTTAATTAGCTCTCAGTATATAAGGTTACTGCACTGTGCAAACATAGGAATGAATGTATATTTGTTTGTTAGTCATGTCCTTTTTTTCCTCTTATGTTTTTACTATTCAGTAGTGCCTTGCCATACTTCCTGCTGTATGATTCCCCCTCAAATGAGCTCAATAATTCAGACAGCTGTTTTCCTGTCTTTCTTTTAAAAAATGCTAGTGTGATTGCAGTTTTTCATGCATGAAGGAATTGATGGTTATATAGTTACATCTGTTCTTCCTTTTTGTTTCATGGTGGCTACATGGGAGACAGAAGAAGGTAATATGTCTTCTTTGGGAATTTTTGTAAAGCGCTATTTACTAAAATCTAATTTAAAACTGGATACTAAAATTCAGTCTTATTGTGGCTTGATTGCACTGTATTTTCATTGCTAATCACCAAAGCTAAATGTAAAAAAGTGAAGATCTAACTGTTCAAGTACTAATTGTTTATCATTATGTTAAATATTCAGTAACTGGAATTAAGCTACTGTAACCTTCCTATTCAGTTAATTACAGAAAAAGGGTATTTTCCTTTACAAGTGTAAGAAAGTGCCTGAATTATTTCATTGTTTTTAGGAAAAGTATTTGCCAACACTGATGATTCAGTTTGTTTGCTGGGAATGCGTAGACGCAACCTTGTTTTCCAACCCGTGGCTGAGCTCAAGACTGAGACAGACTTTGTGTACGTATACACTGCTTACATTTTAAACATCTCCACACAGGCTTCCTTTCACCACATCAGATGAACAGTGCTGACGCACAGTGTTTCCCAATTGTTCTACTATGCCTTTGGCTGGCCTACATTCAGCCAGTGATTCACTTGGATTGTTCATTTGTCTTTTCTAACAACTCGCTTCATGCTTTCTCTTCAGCCTCCTTATACCTGGAAGTCTCTTGTTAAAAATTCTAGCACTCCACCATTCTTTTAAATAACTTTCTCCTAATTGTCTTTGCTCTAATGCCTAGAATAACTTTATTTCTGGCACAGTTATTGGCGCAGAATTTTTGTGCCAAATTTGGTATTATATTTACCAATAAGGAACCACTTATAAAAGGTTGTTCGGTGGGGAGAGAAGGCTCCAGGCAGACCTTACAGCATCCTTGGAAGGGGGCTGTCAGGAAAGATGGTGAAGGGACTCGGTCAGGGAGCACAGTAACAGGACGAGGGGCAGCAGTGGGTAGATTTAGATTTGGTGTTAGGAAGCGACTCTCTTATGTGAGGCTGGTGAGACACTGGAGCAGGTTGCCCAGAGAAGGTGTGGATGCCTCATCCCTGGGAGTGTCCAAGGCCAGGATGGATGGGGATTTGAGCAATGTGGTCTAGTGGAGGTGTTTCTGCCCATGGCAGGGAGGTTGGAAGTCGTTGACCTTTAAGGTCCCTTCCAACCCAAACATTCTGTGATCTTCAAGTAAAATCTGTTCAGTCCTTCACCATTCTGCCCTTAGTTCTCCCTGTTTTGGGTCAGTGTTTACCTCCTGCCATAAATGTCAAATGATGTGATCCTATTTATAAGAAAGGCTGTTACTGTTGATTGTATCAGCTGCGTGTCTTAGCCCCTAACTAAACCACCTTATCTTTTTTCTTCCACCTCTTACACAGACACAGGATTCCCAAGGAGCAATGGTGGCTGAAGCTGCGACCACTGATGAAGATTCTGGCCAAGTACAAGACTAGTTATGATGTTTCAGATTCAGGCCAGCTGGAGCATGTTGCTATGCACAGCCCAAAGGAAGCAGAAACCGGAGCCATCTAAAGACATCACTTTTAGATTACCGTAATAGATGCACATTGTGAGTAACAATGCTTTAGAATCGTTACAGCTTTGTTTTGTAACATTTAAATTATTGTACCAGCACTTTATGTGAAACAAGACGTTCAGAAGTCACACAGATTTTGTCCTGTATTTGTGTTATGTTTGAAACAAACCCTAGCATCTAATGGATAAGCACCATGTACTGATACTACCCTTTAACAGCAAGTGCAACACCGTTCTATGCACTCTGTAAGTTACTCACCACTGCACTTTGTTTCAGAGTACTTACACCCCAAAAATAAGTGTAGATGGCTAGCTTTGTGTTGTTACAGGATGTGCTTAATGTATCTGAAGTGAAATAAAATACTGTTGCAAACATCATGAGTGTCTTGGCAGAAACTGTATTCACTTGTTTTTAAACAATTTGGGAAATAATGCTCCGTGAAGGATTCTCTGTACACTCCAGTGAAGCAAAGAAGGAACTGCCCTTTTGCTTCCCGACCCACACAGGAAGTAGTCGCAGCAGGGCGATCTGTGGTTTGTTGGTTCTTTGGAATCAGGCTACAACACAGAATCATTTCTTTTTGTACAGGGATAATAAAACTATTTTTAAGGGGAAAAAAAAAATAAAAAAAGCTTTAGCAACTTGTGATTCAGAAAGATATATTCTGGTCCTTGATTCACATTTTGTTTCAGCTTCTTAAAGATTATTTAAAAAAACAGTGATGAGAAACTGAGTTTCTCATGAGAAACTGAGTTTTGAAATTAGGCTGACAACGCAGCTAAAAATGTTTCCTCAGGCCAGCTTATCCATTAACTAGACCTTGACAAAAAGTTAAATACTAGATCAAGTCATATAAAAATATTACAATGTTGCCCAAATTGGTGCAATACATTGAACTTAAAATACACTGATTCATTAGTGATTTGCCTACTCCACTGCAATTCACTGCACCCATGGCTTGATGTGAGGTGGAAGGAACCATCATGAAGCTCCTCTACCCTTAGGTGGCTTATGCAAAGGAAACTGGAATTACCACACCAAAGAATGACATTTGTCAGTATGAGAGACATTGTTCTTTATATATCCAACAGCAGACATGATTTCAAACAAATACCATTTAAAACTCTAAGTTTTACATATACAAAAATAATTAATTTATATAGTATTCATATGCAATTGGAGTGAGTCTTCAGTAAAATATTAACGTCTGTTAATTGCCATAAAGAGCATGTAAATGCTTGCTCTCGAATACTGTATGGTTAGAAAGTTTTTCACATAGTTATTGCAAGAACATCTTTTAACAGGTTTGTTGCACACCATTAAAAGCAGCCGTGAACATTTAAGTGGGACCATAGCACTGTTAAAAGTTACTAAATAAAAAAAAAAAGCTAATTATGTAGTCGCACAGATTGGCTTGTTTCATATGAGCTTGGCTGTTCAGCTGTTCAGCAGCAATTCATCGCTTGACCCATGAGGGATCTTTGGCGATATCTGCATTTTCTGGGCCGAGTATAGCTTGACCACGAGTGCTCTTCCCAGCTGCAAGATACCTGTGAGACAAAACCAGAAACCCATGAGAAGCTGCTGCAGTGAGTTATCTAACTGTCACATAAGTTAAAAACATTCCATCTCAGAAAAACGTGGTTGGATACGTGCCCTTTGTTTGTATTTACAGCACCTTCTGGATTTAAAGTGGGTTTTCCCCAGCCATCACACACGAGTCTCCTTATGAGCCTACCTCCTTGACCTTGTATTTTCCAATAGCAGAATTCTGAAGTCTAAAATTAAATTCAGAAGCCTAAAGAAGCATAAACTTACGAATCCAGAAGAACCAGCTCATATAGCCAAGAGCTGGATGCCTGAGTGTTGTACTCTTCTCAGACAGTTTCTGGACCCCTCAAAAATTAAACAATCTCCTACAAAGTCAGAAGGTAGGAGGGAGTTATGTCTGTTAAAATGCAATAAGCAGGATGTAATTAACATCTCTCTCTCTAGGGCACAAAAGCAAATAGTGAAAGTAGTAGGAAAGGTCAAAGGAAGACATCCAAGAACTTTAATCCAACAACTTTCACAAACTTTCCTTCTTCAAATTAGGTTTTTGGTTTATTTTTCAAGTAAACATTTTCCTAAATTGAGCACGGACTTACTTGTTTGATACATCAACCAGGTTATCACTGTTAACAGCAAAAAGTTGTTCCCTGTGCAACTGCTTCATTTCATCAGAAATCCCATATAAGAAATGATCCATTCCTAGGAAAAAACAAAAACCAACAACAAACCAAAAATCACACCCTGCATTGCACACTGGAATCTTGGTTACGACTAGTTTGCACTCATTCGTGCATGTAAGACAGGTACATGTGCTGCAAGGGAAGAAAAAAGACTACCATTAGGCCATCATTCCGAGACAATATCTAACTGTAAATCAAATATCCAAGGTTAGAACTCAGTAAATTAATTTTCTGAAGTACTAAGAGTTTCCTACTTAAAAAAAAAATTTTAAAAATCATATTCTATTCTGGCAAGTGATTCAGTTTGTCAAAAATCTAAATGTAATGGATGTCCAGAAAACCTAAGCCTAATTCAGTCTAAAGAGACTCAGGATTTTGTAACATTTTAGCCAAACTGCATTTAATGATGCTTCAACAAACTCAGAAAATTTGCAGTCAACTGTAATACATGTGTGATGCAAAGGTTTTATAACCTTTTTCTTCTACAAAAGGAAACCTGCATACAAATGCTTTAATGCTTTTGTTGGAATACTTCCATACAGTATTTTAATATTAATATTACAGGTCCAGGAACAACCAGCAAACCCCAAAATAATCACAGAAAAGCTTTTTGTCATGCACGTAACCATAGAGGAAAAACAAGTGGCATGGGAGGACATCTGCCAACTAGTCAAACCTCCTGCCTGAAGTAGGGCTGACTTCCAAGTTAGAGAAGGTTCTTCGAGTCCTTACGCAAGGCCCGATGATCGGAATGACCAGTACTAAAGGGACAGGTACTCCTGCAACAGCATCCTGGCCTGCTGAATCACGTTCTTCTATTCGGTGTTTCACTAAATTTGCCACAGCTCCATCAAGATGCGCGCGTTCAAATATCGAAGAATGCACATCATGACTCTCACAAAGCGCAACATTCAGTATGGATGCGTTTCACTCATCTGCACCTAAAATTACTGGTTTTAATTGCCCAAACCAAAACCAAGTTGTCAGCTGAAAGTCAGCTTCATCTTTTCTTGTCTACTAAGTTACTGTTAATACAAATACATATTAAAATAACACTACTGTTAACCTTATAATTCCTTTATGTATAGAAAAGGAATGTATTCCAACTCAGGAAGTTTTGGACTGAACTTCATCTGATAGTGTGGGTGGGAGGAAAAAGTGAAGAAAGCAAAGCAACACGTGAGCAAACTGAAAAGATGTGAAGATACTACCACGCCATCATAAGTATGCAGATACGTAAAGATAAAACCCTCCACCATAGCAGGCTTCTGTGCTTCTTCGAAAAAAAAGTAACAATCATAGTTAATATGCAGCAATATAATCCTTCAGCTATTTTTAATCAGAAAGCCAGTATTTGTTTTTATTTGCTTGCACTTAATGCCCTTCCCAAGCCTACTGTTGTTTCTTTAATCTCCCTCCATCTCCTAGCAGTATTCACCTGAGCAGCAGCAAGCAGCAGGACAAATACTTGTGGTATTTCTAAGAGCGAGCAAGAGGAACTGACTGCTTTGTTGAAACTGCAGCTGGTTTACGTTTGCCAAGTACAAATTTTATCATGGGATACAGTTTAGCACACTATTTTCTTCCCTTTAAACTTAAATAAATCAATCAGTATTGGCAGCGCTGGCAGGCTGGTGAGAACATACCTTTGTCTGAAGGAGCTATTGGTGCATCTACAGCAGCAAACACTGCCAGCTTAGCTTCATCGATGTCTTCTTGTGTGAATTCTCCAGATTTGGCCCATTCGACTGCTTTTTCAAAGGTTTTCAAGGTGGTTAAAGAATTTGGGTCTCTTGAAAGAAAAAAAAAATTAAATTACTTACTTCAGTATTATCAAATGAAGAACTCCATTTGTTCTGTTCTCATTTCATTCATAGTTTAACGTGCATCACGTAAACATACATACACGGGGCTTAAGCCAAAGGATAAACTCCCTTTTTATGTACAAAGAAAGGTTTGGGAGTTTTTTGGTTGTTTTTTCCAGATGAATAAAGTATTATAAACCAGGCCTATTTTGAAGTTTAGATAAAAAACGTGCAGCAAGTTCCAGGACAGCGTGCAGAGAACTGGCATTAAAAAGATGGTCAGCCAGCACTGTTCACGATGCACCATCGATTTGGTGCAACAGCTTAGTACGCCTAACGGCCATTAATATCAACAACAATATTTCTGATATGCCACATCTTTTCTAAGTTGCTTTTCCTGCTACACCTGTTTTTGCTCTCTGTAAAACAGGTGTAGCAGGTTAACAACTAATGAAATACTAACCCAGACAAGTCCTACCATGCTCAAGGTCCATAGAGAGGCAAAGCCACTCAAATTTTAGCTACGGATCCCAAGCACGTACTGTGCTAAGCTGCCTTTGGTCTAGGAAAATGATTTAAGTGAGTACTCCAGCCACATGACATTTTTTAGTGAGGATTATAACTATTCTGTAATACCTCCAGTTCAAATTTCATCCTCAAGTGTTTTGGCAAGATCAATGCACGTAACTGTTCTGGACTGGCAAAAATAGGAAAAGAAAGGAAGGAGAAAGCAGTTCTAGCTCATCATCAG